AACGTTGATCGCGCCAAAAACCGAAAAGACCAGGCGTGGCTAGACGCAAAAGGAGACAATCGGCGAGAAAACTGCACGACTTGCGAGTTTTGGAAGGAGATCGTGACACGGCAAACGAAATCTTTTTTTATATAATTGTGATGGTAACATTTGATTGGCCATTCATCATTTTACAATTTACAATTGCAAAGATTTTTAAAAAAAAAAAAAAAATTAAATTAAATGGATTCAACAATTTTGGAAAAATATTTCAATGAAAATGAAAGATTATTAAATACAGAAGAATTTTATGATGTAAAAATATATCTTGGTGCAGAGCCAAACATTAAAGAAGTTCATGCACATGCATCCATCATATCTGCTCATTGTCCATTTTTTAACAATGTGTTAAGTGATGCAACAAAAGAAAATGGTTATTATATTGTTAAAGAAGTTAATATCAGTGAACAATTTTTCAAGCCTATTCTCAGGTAAGTTTAAATAAATATATTGTTTATTATTATATTATATTGTATTATTTATTTATTGAATATATAATAATCTATTTAATTGTTGAAAGATTTTTATATACATGTAAATTTGAATTTGAAAATTATACTGGAGTTGAATTATTGGAATTATTAATTGCAACAGATCAACTTGGCATTGAGTCACTTTATGAATATATTATGAAATGCTTTATTGAAAATCATGAAGATTATATAAAAAAAAATCCAGTTAAAATTTTACAATTGATTTATACTAATGAAAAATTTAATGAATTGAAAAATATTTATTTAGAAAAGTTTTGTGAATATAGTCAAAAATTATTTGAATCAAGTGAATTTGAATTGTTGGAAAAACCAATTATATTAGAAATTCTCAAAAGAGATGATTTTTCAGTTGATGAAATAATTATTTGGGAAAATATTCTTAAATGGGGATCAGCAAGACATCCAGAAATCAATAATATCAATGTTGAAGATTGGTCATCACAGAATTTTGTTAAATCAGGCAGCACATTAAAAGAATTTCTTTCTTTAATAAGATTTCAGGATATTTCTCAAGATGATTTTTTTAATAAAATTGTACCATACCAAATGCTTTTTCCTAAAGTTTTATGGAATGACATTTTACAATATTATATCTTTCCAGATAGACAACTAGCATTAAATTTATTGCCACCAAGAATTAAATCAACATTTGAATCATTGACAATCAAACAAAATCTTACTTTACTTTTTGCAAGTTGGATTGATAGAAAAAGTCCACAATATAGTTCATTAAGGGAAGTTAAATACAAATTCAAACTTATATATCGTAGTAGCAGAGATGGTGATAGTGTAGCTACCTTTCATCAAAAATGTGATAATATCAATAAAACTCTTGTAGTTGGCAAAATACAAAATTCAGATCAATTAGTAGGAGGTTATAATCCACTTAATTGGAATTTAAATAATGGAGCTGATACATTTAAGAGTACAACTGAAAGTTTTATTTTTAATATCAGTAATAGAAATGATATTAATTCTGCACAATTTAGTTATGTTATTAAACAAAGTGCAATTCGCTGTCATCCTTCACATTTAGCTATTTTTGGTGGTAGTAGTGATCTTATTTTTAATCCAAACAGCACCATTTACAGTAAAAGTGGCTCATATAATAACATTAATATAGTAAATGGTAGTAAATATGATGAATTAGAAGTATTTCAAATAATTGATAAATAATAAAATTACAAAAATGAATTGTAATCTAATATAATTTTTTTATTTAAAGATTATTATATTTTAAAGACTACTATTCTTTTTTCAATAATGATAACTTTTTGTATTTACATATCTGGACAAAAACATTTGATCACAGAACATATATATTCATAAAAAAACTACATAAATTTTATATCATTATGTTGTTTAGGTTTGAAGAGTATTTTATAATGTAGCCTTTGTTTATCTAAAAATAAAAATAATAAAGTTTAGTATCTAGCTGGACACCCATTGTTAGAAATATATGCTTCTGCCTTTTCTAACAGAGTTTCTCTTTCAGAGCAGCCTCCAATCCCAAAGCATTTTTTGGATGTGCTGCTTGTTTTTTAAGATTTGGTGATTGCAAAGGAAATATATTTATATTTTTTTCAATCCAATTTTGATTATCATTTGTGACTAAAGATAATAAATATTCCTCTAAAATTCCAATGATTAATCTTCTGCCTATTACTATACTAACTAAAGGGCTCAGCCCTTTACCACCATGTTTTACTGATTGGGTAAGATTTTCAATATCATGCTGCCCATCTGGCAGTGTAATTTAGTAATAATTGTCCTGACTAAATAATTTAGTCAATTTAGCAAGTGCTTATTTGAGTTATGCAACCAGCACTGATCTTTTTGCCAAACATGAGTTTGGTCAAAATATTGTAAATTGAGATTCATTTTCTCCAAACACCACCATTTCAAATATTTGATTATTCCTATTTACTCTCTTAATTTTTTTCAATCTAAAACCTTGGGCCTTTTGCTTTGTTGAGATTTTTAACATCACCAGAATTATTGTTAATGATCAGCCCTCCACCAGAAAAACATCTCTAAATGCTACCATGTTTTACTGATAGATAAGATTTCAATATCATAATGACGCCCATCTCTGCACCAAACATGAGTTGGTTGAAATATCACTGATTTCCATTTCCTAACACCCCAACTTTCAAATATTTTTCTCTGACAAAAGGGAGTTTACTGTGAATAAATATAAAGTTTATGGAAATTACTACAAATTATTTTGTTTCTCTTTTGGTTAATTCTTTTTAATTTTTTTGATTGGAAATTTTGGGCTTTCCACTTCAATTAATACTTTTAATAGAATAATGAATTATTATGTATTGGAGGTTCAAGAGGTCTTCCGTCTTTAAAGTTATAAAGTTTAAAAAAACATTCATTACAAACCAAGTAGATTTTATCACAGTCTTACATGGAATTTTAATACCTTAGAGATTCCCCTCATAGAAATCCCATTTAGATTATGACCCAAGGACTTTACCTCTTTCAACTATTATTAATTTTTTCAAAAATTTAATTAATAATAGCAAATTGTTATTTTGGATGTTATTAGTTTTTTGTTTACTGATTTTTAGACATGACAGAGTTATGAAATTCCACATGTTTTTTTATTTTTCCAAACCCACAGCTTTTATTTTCGGTATGTAGAAGGCAAATGAATAATGTACAGAAGAAAAGAAAAACAATGGTATATAGAAAGTGCGCATTGTACCTTTAGTATTGCATTCACCTTGTAGTATATATATATATATATATAGGGGTGTTGAGAATATAAATTGCCTTCGGACGGTTTTTATTTTTACAAAAATGTTTATTATTATTTACGGAGTCTATTCCGCAAAAAGGGAAATATCTGTTGTTAAATTTTGCTTAATTTTCTATTGTAATAGCAGTAGTAGCCATTCACCATTTTACAATTAAATTTTTTAAAAAATAAATTAAATGGATTCAATAATTTTGGAAAAATATTTTAATGAAAATGAAAGGTTATTAAATACAGAAGAATTTTATGATGTAAAAATATATCTTGGTGTAAAACCAAACATTAAAGAAGTTCATGCACATGCATCTATCATATCTGCTCATTGTCCATTTTTTAGCAATGCTTTAAGTGATGCAACAAAAGAAAATGGTTATTATATTGTTAAGGAAGCTATTATTAGTGAAAAATATTTCAAGCCTATTCTCAAGTAGGTTTAAATAAATTTAATTTATTTGCTTATTATTATATTGTATATATGGAGCATGATGCAACAAAACCAGACAAAGTGAACATTATGTCATACACAATTACAGGGTTCAAAATGATTGATTGAAAAGTTGCTTTATTAATTTTTTTTCCTTATCAATTGTGTGAATTGGCAAGACAAAGAATTGAAAAATCAATTAAATTCAAATAGTACCATAATGACAAATCAAAATGATATTAATAATAGAAAATAATAATAATATTGCATTATTTTGGTGAGGATGGAGGTTTTGCAGTTGGTGAACGTATCATTTTGCATGAATGATTTTTAAGTTCTTTCCAATAATTTACGATCCTTACCTGTTTAATATTTGTTTTAAGTTAGCTATGCGCAATAATACTTATAACCAAGTAAGTTACAAAAAAAAACTTTACCTTAAATTTTAATACATTTTCCACAATTTCTGATGTTCTGAAGATACACTCATCAGATGATGGTAATAATAACCCATCAAAATCACAAACAACATTTAAACCAACTATTTCATTCATGGATAAAAAAAAGACTTTCTTTGCTGTTCAAAATAATAATCAAGTTAATTTATAATTCTTTAATGATGAAAAATAAACACAAAAACTTGCTATACTTACCATGCACCAAAATACCAAAAGATCGTAGCATTGGTGGATTTCCATTGTATATTAAATACTCTTTTTGGTTCCATATAGATAATGACATTGCTATAACAATAAATTAAAGGTAAGCATTTTGTTGGATAAAAAATAGTAGGAAAATAACAGACTTACATTTTAATAATTTTTCATAGTCAGTATTCCTATCAGAAACATCTTCATTGAATGCATTTCCTGTAACTTCAATGAATCCAATTGAAAATTTTTGTCCATGAACCAACACATAAACGATACCATCATGTTTATATCCGATTTTTGAACGTTCATTATTCTCTTTATCTTCGTTCCGTTGCAGTTTCTTTATTCTATTTTCAAGTTCTCCCCTAAATTAAACATAAGTGAAAACTTAATTTAGAATGATAATGATGTATATTATTTAATAAGTTACGTTTCTATCCATGCAAAATGCTCAATGTCACAGAATGCCTCTGCAATTAATGGATTTATGATTTCATCTCGATAACGAAATTCTGCAGCACTAGAATCAAACAAAGAGCCTCTTTTCCGAATAAACTGTTTAATACTGGTAAAGAAATGTCAATTATGGAATAAAATAATGAAAATCTATCATTATTATCATAAAACTTACAAGCTCTTATAAATGTCTTGACACCAAAGCAGTTCGTAATCATTTTTATGACAATAATTTTGAAATGGTTTTTCACATATAAAGGATAGTAGTTTTTCATGATTGATGACACCTGTTCTTTCATCATAATTTTTTGATATGTATCCATTGTATTTAACTAATAGACTTTTTATACTATTTTTCACTTTCCAGATATTTTTAATATTGCCTTCAATGCCATCTTCAATCTAATTGTTTTAAAATAGAATCTTAATTTAATGTGTTAATATTTGTAGTCCATATTTAATACAGACCTCTCTATATTTATCAATTAATATTTTCATCTGATTTGGGTAACGATTTGATAGTTCTTTAGTGTAAGGAAATTCTCTATCAAAGAGCGAAATAATATTATAAGATCCAAGTGGGTGTGTTGGATTTAAAAACGAGATGCCTAGTACTTGGTTCTTGTTTCAAAAAAAAAAAAAAAAAATCATGATCACCAGGAGTCCTTTATAAATAATGCGTTAAGATTCTATGAAACCATTATTACCTCTACCAGTGTGCGAGTTTTTTGTTTTTTATTAGCATCAATATTTTTATTTTCTAAAACTTTTTGTTGTCTAAGAAATAAAGGAATTTTAATTAATTAACTAGAGTGGCAACAAGTTGCAATGACTGCAACCACCACCATTTAATGATAAATGACGCTTACCCACTTCTTCTAATTAACGTGTCCTCTTTTTTTCTTTTTTCATTTCTTCGAGTGTCTTTCGGCATCTTAAGAATTAATATCAAAAAATATCGCGAGTTAACCGTAAATATTCAGGGAAAGAGCAAGGATTTGTAGTCGATTTAGTAGGAAATAAAGAAACTTATGAGCAAGTATTAATTGAGTATTTTGATGATTAAAAAAAGATTATTAATTGACTTGCACAAAGAAAATTTATTTATGTGCTGTATGGTTGTACAAAGAAGCCGCAATTGAATTTTTTTATTTTTTTTTGGAAAACAATTTATCTTTTACAAGATGAGAAAGAAAGCGCGAACGTTGTTGTTCAGTGTAGCTTACTCTAAAGGAGACATGGTGTTCTTTATTAATGGCGAGAGGTACACTATTTTTTTTATTGTTTTTATAAATATTGATATGTATTGATTCTTTTGTATAAATATTATTGCAAAATCAAACTATGGAAGCAGATCTTGTAGTGTCTTGGGTAATTATATTATAATAATGATAAATGATTGGTATCGTTTTTGCTTTTCATAATCAACATTGATAATAATAATATTAAAATAATAATAAAGTGTCAAGGCGATACAACTGTTAAAAATGGGGGAGGGAAGGGAAACGATTTGATATGCAACTTTTTCATAATTGTACACTTCACAGACGTCAAGGCACACATGCTACCTTACCACTTACCAGTCATTCTCTTTACATTCCTCGTGTACAAAGGCTAATCCGACTGCACTGCCCTCGATGATTTGATGATGCAATTAAATTCCAGAGGGGGGCGTAAGGCTCTGGAATTTATCAAGATTGCATCAATGTCAAGGACACTTTGCTAATTTTTTTCTCATACTGCCTGACCAGAAAAGGCTGCTAACATGCTGGTCGAAGTTGATTGCAACACTGGTCCCTGGCATCAAAGTGGAATTTTTGCACTTCTTTCAAAAAGGGTCAACAAGAAAAAAATAACAAAACTGGCTGGATTTTGGTATTTTTTGCACAGATTAATTGTTTTTCGAAATTTCTTTTTCTTGGTAATTATTAATTGGTTAACCAAATTTATTGTTTTTTAGTGACTGGGCTTTTGCCCAAATCGTTCCTTGCCATAGGTAGGCATGCCCTGACAAAACAGTAATACAAGTTGCAACTTCTTCAGTTGCAGAATTTCATACCAGTTGCAAGCACCAACTTTTACTCTAGTGGGACAACAATCATTGCACGCATCAACTCTTGTCAACAATCAATGCTGTATGGCAGCAGTCAAGCCTGGTCTGAGGGGGAAAATTTTTTGTCCGTTCACCTTATAAAAGCCTTCAAACATGTTCAGGACGCTTTCACTTGTGGAATAAAGTTCCATGATGCTGAAAAGTGCTTAATTGCACTGTACTGCATGTTTGTTATAGGAAGTTTTAATTAAATCTGTTACCTGTAATCTATATAATCAGATTTATTATTCATGGTTTTTAAGGAACTATACAAGAAGGAATATTTTTTCTTCCTGATCTTCCTTATTCATTTATTTTTTGCAAAGCCTAAAGATTTGGGATAGATGCACACATTATTATTTTGAAAAATCGGGTTCCTTAAAAAATTCATCTCTGCATGGTCTTGGTATTATCACTACCTTGGTGATGCAATTGTTTGTTATGTTAATGACAACATCAAATGTATTGAATAGGCATCAAAATCATCATAGATATTTAATGGATGCAGGTATTCACATGAGGAAAGTATTAAATAACAACAAAAAAGCTAATTTTGTTTTTTATTTTAATCAAGATATATAATTATATAATTTTGTAAACTACTTGTAATGATATGAATATGCGACACGGATTTTTCTTCTTTTGGGTAACACAAATCATTTGATCATATATAACGTGTTTAAATTTAATCGCCCATTAAATTCATATTTTGTCGTTCCACAATTATATCTACCATATTTCATTTATTTTATTATTTTATAATCATAGATAATTAATTTCATTCGGACACATTAAGAATTAATTAATATTTTCCATATATCATATTATTATATATTATTATTAATTATTTTTCATATGTTAATTATTAAGCTGTAGCTTTCCGGGAAGTCTTATGAACATGGAGCAACCATATGATAATATTCATATGTTAATGAATTATTAATTTATTTTGTATTATTAATGTTTTCATGTAAAAACAATTATAAAAGACAAGCTTTCCTAAGTTTAATAAAGATAATAACAATTATTTATTTAAAAATAATTCTTGTTCGTTTACACTCACTTTATATTTTACACTTGATAACATTTTGTTTGAGTTATTTTGGATTAAATAACTTGTTTTTATTTTCGTTTTATTACACTACTAATGAGTTACCAGAGTTTGCATTTAGATTTGGCAGGGAGTGTACATATGATTTTTGTTATTATTATTTTTTTCTACTCTTGCAATGGTACTAGCTTTTTAATAATAATTCTGAAATCATTTGTTTATTAATTATTGAATTGATTACATAAATGGCAGTCAGTTTAAAAGGCATTTTTTAAAAGGTTATTTTTGAATGAATTTTTTTTTGATAAATCAAGCATTTTTTATATAATTTAATTAAAAAGTTTCTTTATTTCTCTTTTTTTGATAAAACTAAATTTTTAACATTTGCTTATTTGTTTTTTTTATTAGATCAAATGATGCACATTGTAAAAAAATTTTTTTAGGAAACATGAAATTTTGTGTGTAATTTTCTTCAATTGTTTTTTTAGAAATAA